TTATTCCTTATCATAACTCCTACCTCTCTACCGAATTCAGATATTGTACTCAATACACAGTAATATTCATTAAACAGATTGAAATCAATTTTATTCAATATACCACTGAAGTGTTATTTTGCATGTCAGTTCATAGTTAAATACTGTAAGTCTCAACAGGAAACTTAGGCAGGTTGGAACTCACATTGAGACAGTCATGAGAGACGAGTTTGGAGAGATTAAGCAGGCAGAGAGCTACTTAAAATTTATGGAACTTTGAATTTTCGTAGGGGTGATGGGATGAATTTAAATCAGGGAAGCAGCATTTTTACATTTATGGACCTTTGGAAAAAATTAGTCTGGGTGGCAGTTGAGAAAAGAGTTATTATAGAGAATCACGACAGAGGCAGGAAGCTGAGGGTGGTTGAGTTAGAACTATTGAATGTGTGGGTTTGTAGTGGGGAGGCTAGTAGAGTCACTGACAAGTCAAACAGCTAAAGCACAACCAGGCAAGGTAAGAAGGTGAAGCTGCGCAACTTTAAAATTTTCTTTTTAATTATTAAGGGTAACATAAGTATGTAAAATGCTTTACTTTTGAACAGCTTGATAAACGTCTTTGAGTGTGTATACTAAGACAATTTCCACCCAAATCAAGGAAGAGAACGCTCACTCATGCCATTCCTAATCATTTATTAATTCTAAGGGAAAAATAATAATTTTATAGAGACAGTATTGCAGATGTCATCTTAACCAAATGTTCAAAGTTAACATCATCAAAATGAGACAAAGTGACACCATGCAATTCCTGATATAACAGCACTGCAAAGGGCTAAGATTTTCACATTCCTTGATGTTTTTCCCATAAGAAGGTGCGACCTATATCCTCTCCATGAGTCAAGGCAGGCTTTATGACTGCTCTGACAAACAGAATAAAGAAGTAAGGTCTACCAATTTGACAGTGCACTTTCTATGTCCTGCAAGCGTATGCTTTTGGAATCCAGCTAGGCTAAGAAATGGATGGTGACTGGACCAGCCACAGAAGCTTGGGCCACATGGAGGGACTGCAATAGATGCTCTGATCCAGTATTAACTGAGCTCTCAGTCAACAAGTAGCTCAAGTGCCCATCAGAAGTCATTTTGGATGCCCAGCTCCATTCGGCCTCCAGTGATACCACCACCAGCCACAACTGCAAGGGAGATTTCACCCCACTGAGCAAAAAGTAAAAGTATGAAAGATACTGTTTTAAGTCACTAAGTTTTTAGATGGTTTGTTATGTAGCAAGAGATAACTGATCTAGCTACTAACATTGCAAAATTGTACATTCCATAAGACATGAGACTGTCGTCTTCTAGCAATATCACTGACTTCTAAAATCATACACAATAGGTAAATATGTTTGTTGTGAATGAAAAAGTAAATGGATATTAGCAATATTACTGACTTGAGGAAATGATCTGGAAATCCACACTTCTCTTAAGAAGCTATTAAGCCAAGTTTAAATGTTTTGTCTTCTTTTTGCTTAATAAACTACTTGAGCAAGAAGATCAAGTTTTAGAAATTAGTGTTATTAATTTTATATCAGCCTTCAGAAGTGGGTCACATTTTGGCCTACCTAAAAGTGGGTCTCTTGAAAAAAATAGAATATAACAGCCTACATATTTAAAGATCTCATTAAGGATATTGTTTTGAGATTTTAGAATCTCTAAAGTTTGGTTCTTTAAAATCTTTTATCTTATCTTTCACTGTTTCTCCAGAGTATCAAGGCCAGCAACAAAAGGAGAAAAGATACAAAGAAAGAATATCCTAAGAAGTGAAAGGTACACCTTTTTATGGTGATGTTGTATTTCTGGGATGTTTTACATGGCAAGAAAAATAACTTTTCTCTCTCCTTTCCTTTCACAAGACCATTTTGAATGGTTTCCTTTTCTAAGCTCCTTATCTCAGTCAACAGACAGCAGAAAGGCTGAATACTCTATTAGGAGAACTGAATACTCCAAATACAGGACACTAATAATCATCTATAATAAATAGGTGCCTATTTGCACTGTTTATTTTGACAGTTAAAAAGCAGCACCTGGCCCTCCCTGGTGGCGCAGCGGGTTAAAGCACTGCACTAAGAAGCTGAAGCCAGTACCGCATGAGTTCGATTCCCGCCTGCCCAGGAGGTGACCACATGGCGTGGCAGACCTCTCCTGACCCGCCCGCTGCTCCCCTCAGCAGTGTACTTCGTTGATCTGCCTGTTCTGCTCCCCGCTCTGTCTCTGGTGAAGCCTCTCGCCGCCCCTGAGCCTCTGGCCTGTACCCCAGTTCTGTATGTACAAATAAATAAATCTTTAAAAAAAAAAAAAAAAGCAGCACCTGTTTGCATAATCACCTATATAAAGATATGTCAAATCCTGCAAAACTGAGACAGCCAAATGGGGAGGGTGGTGGGTAGACATAGGGGAGAGAAGGGGTGCATGGCACGTGGTTGATTACTAGACACTGGTAGTGGGCATGATATGAAAATATATATCTAACCCTGTAACTCCCCAAACTGATACAACATTAAAATTAAAATTCACAAAAGCATACTGCTGCTTAATAAGCATCATGGAAAAATACAAGGAAATTACAGATGATACTAAAGTACAAATAATAATCTTTCTTATATAGTTCAATTAAATTATTGCATGATTTCTATTATGCTTACCTTGAACTTCAGGAGGATACTTAAACTCTGTGACATTTCTTTTACGTAATTGCTACAAAGCATACTAAAATGGCAAAATTGCTCAAATATCATTATCTCTAAATGGTATTGTCACAACCAAATATATATATATCTTTAATTTAATCCATACTTATCCTTTTGGAGTAAAACCATTCAAGGCTTATTTTAAAAATGCATGTTTCAGGGGCTCTCCCTGGTGGAGCGATGGGTTAAAGTGCTGCACGATGAAGCTCTCAAAGCCACTGCAGTACATGTTCAATTGCTGGCCAGAGAGGTGACCCACGTGGCGTGGCAAACCTCTCCTGACGCACCCGCTGTTCCCCTTACAGTGTATTTCAATACATCTGCCTGTTCTGTTCCCCACTCTGTCTCTGGTGAATCCTCCCACCCACCACACCTCTGACTCATACCCAAGTTCTGTAAGCATAAATAAATCTTTAAAATAATACATGTTTCATCCTACAGTAGTTCCTTCTATTTCCTGATTTGGGTATCTATAATCAGTTCAACACACAAATCTTTTATTAGTTTTCTTGCTTTAGAGCCATTAGCAAGAGTTCATCGCCAGGTGGCACTGCTGTATTTACAGATTACTTTTCAAGTGCATAAATACTGGCTCATATCATTCTGACTGAATTCTTAAATCCAAATGATTGATCCTTCTGACTTCCTGTTACCTGTCTCCTCCAGGAAGCAGAGGAAACAGTTTGGTACTACCTACTATCAACTTCACAATATAGATTTGAAAACTACAGAATTTTATCTCTGCTCAGCATCCTATTCTTATCACTTATGAAAGTTCTTTTTTAGAAATCTAGTCACACACAACCCAAAATATAGTTCTCATGTTGGGGTATTAACAATAGCAAAGGAAGGCTCTGGAATTAGGGACTCAAATTCTCTAAATAAGAAGTTTTGATTTATAGGCATTTAGATCTAAATTCTTCTGGTCTTTTGTCATTGTACCACACAAGTAATTTCATATTATTCCTAAACCAAAAGAAAAGGTGTACCCAGATAAATAAATGGAGAGAAGGTCCTTCTCTCAAACTAGTTTATGGATTGGCATTTGCCAGGACATTGACAGCAAGGCAAGCTGTCAAAGATGAATGGTTGTTTGAGAGGCACAATCCCTTTCATATTTGCTCATTTCTTACATATTTTTGACTTGTACCAAGCAAGCTGTCTTTACAGAATGATTTCAATTCAGGTGTTGTGAGCCATTTCAGTTTAATCCCTCCAAGAAAGGTACAGAAGCTTCCTCATTACAACAGCACTAATTGTTCAGGGCCCACCTTCCTTTTTCCTGGGATTTTGTTGTTTGAGGGCACAGAATACAGAACAATGACTGTCCACATACAAGAACTAGTCAGGCAATGTTCCTGCACAGACAGGGATCATTCCTTCATGATTACTGGTGAGATGCTAAATGCTAAAAAGAGCGCTAAGAAGGTTATATCACATTAGACTTATAAAACCTGGATTAGTGCCTTTTGTGGTTAGAATAACTATATATTATCTGGAACATTTCAGCTTATTCCCATTGTCTCTATTACCCTATCTTAATTCTTCCCTATTTCTCTTTCAAAAATGTCCAAGTTTGGGCAATAAATTATATGCTAACCCTATTTATCAAATAAATAAAATCCTACTTATCAAATCAGTTCTCCCAAACAAATCCACCCAATTGAGCAGTTTCTCCTACGTCAGTTCCCTTTATCCTAGTTCTTAGGCCCTATTATTAACCTCCCTCCTCTTGCCCTGACCTTGCTAATCCCAAATCTTTTCACCTCCAAAAATTTAATCTTCCTTTTCTTTATTCCCCAGAAAGTTTTTCTCCTTCACAGTCACTTTTCCATCTTTTGCTCCCTTTCTTCTGACAAAATTAACTTTAGATCCACCCTGACAATGCTGATTCAACTTGTACATATGGCCAACAGTTTAAATAATTTAGTGTCATACACGGTCATTAAATGTTTTGAAAAGCCTGATTCAGAAACCAACAACAAAGAAATCTCCCAGACTTACTAAACTGGTCTCTCATAGCAGAGTGGGCCCACACAAGCTTTCCCAGAGCAATACAGCTGATTCCCATAGATGATGTGCAATGAATAGTCCTGGCCTCCTCTGCCCTAGCCTCCTTGAAGACACGTCCCTCAATTCATATAACCTTGGAGGCAACACAGTGCAGCAGTGAGGAACCCAAGATTCTGAAAATAAAGTACTAAGGTTTAGTTGTTAAGTAAGCTTTGAAAAACTACTCGAGACTCCAGTGCTTTAATTTTCCCTTTAGAATCTGGTTAACAGTACACTTATCCCCATATCTGCAGAAATATTAAACAATTAGTACAGATAAAGCACTTAGATCAAGCCTAGTACAATTGCTTTTAAGATGCTAGTAATTACCTGCTTCATAGCTGAAAACACATCCAAGGTCCCATGGCTGGTGATGCTGATATAAACCCAGATTTTCTGAATCTAAACGTCATACCACCTCTGCCCAAGAGCTCGCCTACATATGATAAAAAGCAGTAATAAGCCAATGAATGATATAAGCTCTTTATTGATCATGTAACATAAAATGACAACCCCAATTACAGCTGCCTAACGATGCTGTGACATGACTAGTGAAGATGCCTAAGATGCCATAACATTTATAAGATATAGGTCAATAGTTTCAATGACTGATTGTTTTCAAATTTAACTGTAAAGTTTACTTAAAGGAACTGTTTTTGAACCCAATATAAACTTGCTATAGTTAATCCACATAATGCAACTGTATTTGAAACAAGCCTTACTATTTCCCATCTCAGTCATCCTCAACATTTCAAATGCCTCTTTCCATTACCATACCATTTCAAAGGGAAACTCTGGGAAATAGTGATGCCGTGCTTTCCTCACAAAGACACCCAATAACCTGGAATCTTTACACCACATTCCCCGTCATTCCTACAACTTATACTTTCTGCTCTTTTGAGACATGCTTCGTTCTAGCACAGACAAAAACATACACAAAGCAAAATCACAAGTAGGATTTTGAAAACCTAAATTCTGGGCTTCGCTGTCAAAAACTACATAATAATTTTAGATCATAGAACCTGTGCAGAACTCTATTCTTAGCTGCAAAAGATAATTTCTATTTGTTCAGTCTTTTGCAGTACTTTAACAGTAACTCTTACAGTTCGTAGCATTACATTCACTGAACAGAGAAAATTTAATCTCAGAAAGATTATACAATCCGAGATCCCACAGGCAATAATACGACCAAACTAAACTAACACAACTGCATCTAAGAACCAAATACTGGTACATGTGCTCAGTATATTTGGTAAATGGACGAAGCAGCGATTTCTCATGTCCCTTCCCAATGCTCGCAATGTTGCTTCTACTCACTTTTTCTCTCTTTTCTCAACCATTTTAACTATAAAATATACATCTGATCACCAGACTTATTTAACATGGTGCTTTAACCAGTCTTTAAATTTTATTTCATTTCCACATTAACTTCTGAGAAAAACTACTTTTATAAATGCTACTAATTACTTTTATTTACTTTTAAAGCCAATCATCTCATATATAAAACCATATTAAAAGCACTCCTTGGAGAATAAACATATTTTTATTAACTTTATGTTTTTTCCTGTCTTTATTTGAAAATTGTTATTTTACCTCAGTGTAAAGGCTCCTGTTCTATAACAAAAAAATGTCATAGCGAAGAGTCAAGAAATCTAACAGAATGAGCTAATGAAATGGAAGGTAAACCTTTGAACATTATATGAGGGATTCATATGCCCAATGATAAAATATGCCTAAACTAATATTTTAACACCTCTATCTGTACTTTATACATATAGTCATGCTAATACTACTTATAAATATGTACCTCAATCAAATTAAAACTTAATATAAAATAAAATTAATTCTATCAGCAACCCTGAGAAATCAGCAGAGCCCAATAAAGAGCATGCTCTCACAAGGAGGGAAATTTGAACAGTCGGTAATTTATATAACTGAATATGCTAAAAATGAGAACATAAACAATGCAGGGATGAGGAGCACACATAGGAAAATAATTTCATTATGTTCTTCACTTTGATTGTATTGCTTTCTTGTCTTTAGGAGGTAAAATTTTTACTTCAAAAGTAACAAAGTATTTAAGAAGGGAATTTACATCTTTCTGTTCTAGATGGTACTCTTTTGCTATTTTCTCAGCAGTCCAAGTTTCTGGATGCAGTTTATGATTATTAAGAAGTGTCAATGCCTCTACAATGGAAATTTTGCCTTTAGGAATGTTCTTAATATTCATCATGTCGAAGTGATGGCCTTTTGGCAATCTGAACTCTTTTGGTTGTTGACGTGTTACAGCATCTTTTACCTAGTATCAAAAGAAAGAAGAATTTCAGAATAAAAGAGAGAAGATCTGACATCTACGTTCACTTATTGCACTGTTGTTCTTCAAATAACCCCTACTCTGCTTCTCCAAACTACATTTTCTTAGAGTAATAAGCCAGCTTGCTGACACTTCTGCCAAACTGCCACTTCATAAATATAGTTCAATCATCATTAAAAAAATTATGTACTTCTAAAAATAATTGAATGTATACCACCACTTACACTGTTTCATGAACATTAAAAGAAAAACTGATTAACTACTGCTTAACAACAGTGAAAGTTTACTAGATAATCTACATTCTGTTTTTCAGTTTTGTATTTTATATTCCATGTCCCCAAACACCTTGAATGAATTCAAATATTGCTAGAGGGATTGTCCCTTCAACAAAACTAAATGCCTGCTATTCCCAAACATATAAATGAACCACTTATGTTCACCCATTCTTTCATCTGTCTTTCCTATCCAAGGTTAATCTTTACATTTGTGCTCTATATTTTATTCCTTTTACTAAGCTGTGTCAATTATTCTTTTCCTTCCAAATGTACCTGCCCAATGTTAACTTTTGGTCAAAATATAAAAATGTTGTTTCTAACTTTTTAAAAATATGCACCAAACTTGAAACCAAAAGTTTCTTTATAAATAGTTTCCTTCTTTTTAAGCTTTAAAGCTTTTAAAGTAAAGCTTTAAAGGCTAATATTTGCAATCTCAAATGACATCTAAATTGCTTAATTCAGAGGATACTTTTTAGGCTTTATCTGAGGTCAAATTCTGTAGACACCTCTAATAACATACTAAACACTACCTCCCCTGGCTTCCATGCAACATACTACTAGTTTTCACTCATTTCTCCATTGGCTCCTTCTTTACTATTCTTTGTGAAATGTTTCCCTCAACTGTTAACTTAAGTGTTAGTGTGCTCCAAGCTTTGGTCTAGACCTTCTTCTCATCTATTCATTTCTCCTACATAATCCCAAACACTCCCTGAACTTCCATTACTACTACATGATAATGATTTTCAATGTTACCTCAAACCTAGACTTTTTTCTTGACTTAGAACTAAATTCCCAAATGCCTATTGGGCATTTATCCTTGGACAACCTACAAACACAAAAAAACACGAGGTCTAAAACTGAATCCATCTTTTTCCCCTGAAACTCATTCTCACCCACATATTCTTGATCCCAATGACCAACACCACCCAATACCCATCTACCAAAACTATCGATTACCCCTGATATTTTCCCCTCTCTCACTTATCACATCTACTTCATGCTGACATCCTGTTGAAACTTTGTCCCAAGTCCCCTTCAAACCCATTCACATTTCTATAATCACTAAATCAGCATAGTCTAATTCAGTATTCTTTCAGTAACTATTGAACTGGTCTCTTCTCCACCTTTCTGGTGCCACAGGGGTTAAGTCTCAACGTTATCACTGATGTGGCTGGAGTTTGATCCCCAGCCAGGGAGCTAACCCACATAGGGTCAGCAGACTTCTCCTATCTTACCCATTCCCACTCTGGCCTAGATCCTAGTTCTTCTAAGCATAAATAAATAAATCTTTTAAAAAAAAATGTACCAGAATTTTGTTTTTCTCCACATACCCAATCCTACTCTCAAACTTACCCCACTACAAACCAACTCATTTCAAAATGAAACACATTTTCAATTAACTTTCCACTGTCCTCAGGACAAAACCCAAATTACTTACCAAAACAAATAAAGCCCATAATGATCTGGTCCCTAGTGTCACCTATTTCACCTTATTCTTCCCAAAGTGGTCCTCTCACTTTCTCCTAACTGTATGAACTCTATCTCCAAAAGGCATCAGTTAGTCTGTCTTCATAATTTTGACCTGAAATTTTCCAATTTCTTGATTTACCAAAATTCAAAGCTTTTCTTATCTTTCTATTTTCATGTAATTTCTCCTTCCATCTGATACACACTTTTATTCAGATTTCTCTTTTGGTTAACATTAATATTGCATGTCAAATACTATAATAAATATTAAGACAATCAAATAGTATCTGACAAAATTCAACATCCTCTCTTGATAAAGACAAAAAAATATGTTCCAAATGTAAAAAAGTATTTTATTAGATTTTAACATCATTGCTAAATCATTAGTGGCATCTTATGTAAGGAAAGAACAGGATATAAAAAGATAGAATAACAATTTTCATGATATGTTTGTACTGCTATAAACAATGCAGTACAGAATGAAACCTAGACAGAAATATCTGTATACAGATATAAGAATATCTTTGAAAAAATAAAAATGAGCTAAAAAATGAATAGAAATAATCTAGCAATATGGACAGCTGCCATATGAAATTCACTCACTTTCATATATTAGCAATAACAGTAAAAAAATTTAGGTTATGGAAAGATCCCATAGTAACAAACACTATTTCTATCCATCTCACAAAGAATCAACAACAAGTAGACTTACTAAAAGCTTAACAATTTGATTCTCCACTTCAGCTAGGGAAAAGTGTGTGAGAAAAGTCAAGAACTTTTCAAAGAGATCACAGCAGATATCAAAATATACTAAACAGCTCTATTAATTAAAATAGAAAAATAAATACAGACCTGTATGTGTATATATTAGCATTTCAACTAACTATTTTAGACACTGTTCATCCATTTACTCTAAGGTCAAATAAAGATTTTAAGACAAAATACATAATCATAAAAATACTAAAAGAAAATATAGAGGACTATTTTTTATGTTGGAGTCCAGACTAATGTCATGAAAGACAAAGACTTGACACATTTGACAGAATTTTGAACAGCAATATAAAATTGAGTTTTTAAGTCAGAGAAAAAATAAAGAAACTAGTTGTCATTATAGGTATAGGATTACTGATGTTTTGGAGACATCAAAAAACTATTAAGGAAATTATGAACTGTCCAAAAGAAAAAAAGTGACAGAGAACACAAACACCTACTTAACTTTTTTCATTTTTACTCCCCCATGAGTCTTAGATTTTTCCTAATACGTCCCCAAAATGTTGACATCACTGTGTTTCTCTTGAGTATTGTACCTATATATCTGTGTTTTATATATTAAAAAAGCAGTAAGCTGCTTGTTTTTCCTGCCCCCAAAGAACCAACATTTTTCAAATGCGTGATTTAGTATATACTAAATATATACCCTATATTTAATATTATTCAGTACCTGTCTAAAAATAACACGAAGAACATTACCATTAATCCCTCATTTTTGTCAACACCTGGTGATAATTATTATTACCAGTTTACAAACCTCATTTTACATTACATAATACTTTCATTTTCCTTCTCCAGTGTAAACTAAGAATTAATACTGTATCTGTGCAGTCTATTGCCTGTACACAGAGAGAGAGAACCAGAGGATTTTAGAAAGGAAGAAATCTGGAGTGATCACTGGTACTTCCTTCTCCTTTAATTATTAAAGTTCCTCCTACTTAGAACCTTCTTGTTGCCCCAAATTCATACGGTTTAACTTCATCATTTAGGCCTGGGTTTAAATGTCACTTCCTTAAAAATCATTCCCAATCCACCTATATCAAGTAGCTCCTTTCCATTGATTCAGTGATTCTACTTCTCCTTCATAAATCTATTAGCAATTATGTACACTTCTCTTGATCGTTTTTCTTGGGCCCCAAAGAATTAAATTATTTATTCACTCAATTAAAACAACATTACCTGCATAGAAGACACAGGATCTTTGGAATCAACATACACATCTTTTAGCAATGACAGCAGTCTGTCATCTTTTCTAGCAATTTCTCCCTTAATTTCTGGATCATCTAGGAAAAAAAGAATACCACATTGTTATTTAAAAAAAAAGGTAATTTCCTCTAAGATCCATAACACTTAACAAGATACAATTTTTTGCTTAATAATCACTCAGAAAATACGGAAATATAAAATATATTTAAAACTACGAGGTCAGGCTGGGAGTCCACGGCGCTATTAACTAGAGAAAACCTACGCTGCACATTATCCCTTTTGATTTTGACTCCGTGCATTAAGTTTCTAAGCATTAATGCCAAAAGCTGGCTTGCCATCAGTCGGTGGGGTCACAGGTCATCCCCTGGGTAATCTTAAGTAGAAGGCGCCGACGCAAGAAAACGGTCTCAATGTCACTGGCCTGGAGGCGCCTCCAGCCGCGATCACACGGGTCACTGAAACGCGGTCCACCCGCGCGGAACCGTGTTGCCTGCACCCCCGAGTTCTCTCCACTCACGGTTTATCTGCGCTTGCAGGATCTTCTTGGTTGAGGGGTGCCTGGGAGCAGAAGAGGGCTTCATCTTGCTGATTTCCCGTTCTGCCCGGTTCTCTAGGTTGAAATTCCTAATCGCACGCGTCACCGAGGCGCCCATCTCTTCACAACATGATGCCCTCCGGTTCACGCCACACGTGGGAAATCACCGGCACTGACGACCTCCAGGACACACAGAGCATGCGCGCGCCCGGGGTCACCCCTGCCGTGCGCCGAAAAAAGGTAGTAAATGCGCAAAGTTCGCCCCCTCGCGGTCGGGAGGGCACACGCCACGTCTCTGCCTAGAGTGTGTCAAAGATGAGAGCCTCGCTCCCAGCCTGCAAGTTGCAGTTTGGACAGGACGAAGCTCAGGTCATTCGTGGTTGTCTCACCCCAGCAGATTCCTGGAGTCAGGGGGGGAACTTTAACGCAGTTTCTTGCCCCGCCCAACTCATACTGGCTGATTTGTCCAGACTGAGGGCTGGCGTTGATTTAGTCTTATCACGTGATTTCCAGAGTTGCTTGTTTAAGAGAGAAAGCCTTTGAAATTGACCTTGAGGTGTTTTCACAGGTCAACGTAGCAAAAGAGGAAGCTAGTGTAAATGGATCTGATTACAACAGGATCGAGAAGTTTCCAAAATTGCCCTTTCTTGCACTTATTAAAGTAAAAGAATGAAAATGTATTACTTCTCAATGAACATTTTGTTCTTACTCTGCAGTTTAAATGCCTCTTATTTCCTCTTCTCTTTCATAATGCATTTCTGAGTTACCCTGTGCTCTTTCCGTGATTCTTTCCACCTGGCTCTCACAACTCATTGGCTTTAATGTCAGGTGTGCTTTCCTTCCCCCCTCCTGTTCTGCTGTTTTCATATAAGATTATTTAGAAACACTGTAATCTGTAATAAAAGAATCCATAAGAAAATAACAGGGCTTCCAAAGTTAAAATACTTTTATACTGCGGGCGCAAGATTTGTATTTAGTATTAGTGTATTAGTGTTCTCCACACTGCTTACCGCAATAAAGTTGGATGTTTCCAGTTGAAAAGGGGGGAAAAAACCTGTGAAGATAATCAAATTAGTACTTTTTAAAAATCAAAGTAAATGGCAATTTTATTAAAAGAAAAATAACGCAATTAATAAATATGATACCTAATGACTAAAAGAATAGAAAACCTAAAGGAGACATCACATAGTTAAAACCTGACTGCCACAAGGAGATGGGGGCAGAAGGGATTAACCTGACCATTAACCCAGCCACAGTGCTTTATTACAGCATAGTACCCAAATAGGTATCGCACTGCTGTAGGGAGTGTAAGAAGCATGGACCTGAGGGCAAAGATATAAAACTGAACCCATTGGCCCATTGGAAGTCTCCAGTCCCTTTATGACTCCACATGGTTATCCAAAAACAGCAGCAAAAAGGCCACTCCACAAAGGAATGCACCTGTCCCAAAGAGAAAAAGAACTATATTATGCAGCCTCTGCACTGGCTCAGGGCAGCAGTCCTGCCTACCTGTGCCTGTGCAGGTGCTTCTTTCCACCACCTGACTCCCTCTGCAGGGCAGCCGCCTCCTGTCTGCCAATGTCTTGTACCATACAGGGGCTTCTCTGCACTGACCTCCCTCAGCTTAAGCCACTCTTCTCAAGGCTGCTTGACCTGACCATGCAGGCCTCTCTTAGCAAGACAGTCCCTTTAAGGGCAGCTCTTTCTGCCTGCTTGTGTCTATGCAAGTGTCCTCTTTTCTGTCCCTGTCCCTAATAAACCTACTTTAAATATAACTAACGTCTCTGTCTTGGAGAAACTTGCTTGGAAAACTCACTGAAGCTCTGTTGACACCTTTGCCAGGGTGAACCCAAGGACCCCATATGCCAAGCTCATCTCCAAAAGTACTACAAAAGTCATAGCAAAAGTACTACAGAGAACATTGCCCCGACCATTGATTATCATCAAGCATTATTGCTAGGGTTGATCTTTGGAATTTATAGAGGGTAAATCCTGTTTTCTCTGGTGGAGTTATTAAAAAGTTATCCTGAAGGTGGCAGGCTGCTCCAAGATTTCCATTTTTGAGACTTGCTATAATTCAGTGGGTTGTTTTTTTGGCCAAGATACTCAAATTTCTATGGGTGTCAAGAAATTTTCATCTGCCTAATTATGAGCTTCAAAAATTATGGTAGCATTTCTACTCTTTTTTTTTAAGATTTATTTATTTATTCATACAGAACTGGGGTACAGGCCAGAGGCTCAGGGGTGGCGAGAGGCTTCACCAGAGACAGAGTGGGAAACAGAACGGGCTGATCGACGAAGTACACTGCTGAGGGGAGCAGCGGGTGGGCCAGGAGAGGTCTGCCACGCCATGTGGTCACCTCCGGGGCAGGCGGGGATCAAACGCATGCGGAAGTGGCTTTAGATTCTCAGTGCTGTGTTTTAACCCGCTGCGCCACCAGGGAGGGCCTCTACTCTAAGAAAAAATCTTATTTTCATGGAAATTACACTGTATTTTTGACAGCATGAAAAAGTAATGTTAGCCAGAAGTTAGAGGAAATGGAGGGGTATTTGGGGAATTCCTTGATTCCCATGTTTAGCTAAGATTTTGGTTTAAGCATTTAGGGAACAACCAACCTACTCCAGCTGTGCTGCTAGTTCCTGCCCTAGTTCTGCCGTCACACAGGAATTTAACTACACCAGAAAGAGAATTTAACTATTCCAGAAAGGCACAATGGCTACTTTCGGAATTGTCATGGAAATAAAATTAGAACACAAACGCATAATTTCAACTCTTCTTGTCAAAATACGTAAATTAACAAGAAGTCTGAACTGAGAACACCCTCTGGGCCTATGCTGAAGTTTGAAGTCAGTTTCCCAAGGAAGTTATAACTAGGCTGGTGCTCAGAATTAGGCATTGCTCTGAGAGAAATGCTATGATAGGTATGTATCACTGAATATCTTAAAAGACCAATGAAATAAACCTAGGTTCTTGCCAATACACTCAGAATTTTGTCTGTTGTGTTTTTTTTTTTTTTTTCATTGCTGTACCCATCACATCAAACTGTGCCTGACACACAGTCGGTACTAAACAAATCTCAAATAGATTAAAAAACAAGTAGGTCACAGACCTCAGATAGGTTCTTTCTTTTACAGAAGTGAGTCATTGTGAAAGTCCTCATTCTGGTTGAACCCAAGTTCCTCATCTTAAAAGTCACGGTGATAGTAATTATCTAATGGATTTCATTTAATTTAAGAATATACTGTCTAGTTCAGCATATAAAAATAAATCCAAAATTCTTTAGGATTTATAATAAAGCAGAAATTAATTACATAGAAACAAAACCAGGTGACTTTTTTTTTTTTGCAAATACAAAATCTGATACATCCAAGTAAAAATAAAGGCATAAATAAAATAAAATACCTTTGAAATTTGTTGGAAAAGAATAAGTATACAAATATAGGCTTCTTCTTTTTTTTTTTTACAAATACAAACATTTATAAAAATTTAGAGGAAGCAATTTATACAACTGTAATATATACAATCTTTCCTTGAGTGACTTGCTTGTAGCCAATAGACTGTGGCAACTGTGAAGAAAATGGAGAGCAGTAAACTGGAGTGGAGTAGAATGGAATAGAATAGAGAAAACTTAGAGAATAATCCAAGAACTATTAGATCTCATAAAAGAATTAGATAAATTAGCAGTCAGAAAACACAATAATTAACAATTTCCTTTGATGATTATCATAAGAACTATTATTCCTAAAGTGTGCAAAACCCAAATTAACTAAACTACAAAATTTATGAAAGGATAGAAAGGGATAAGTGATGAGATATGTGGTTAAATCTATAACAGGTTGTTTGAAACACAAGAGTAAAAATACCAACTCTTCCACAAATTAATCCACAACTAAAATTGTGAAATGAGACTAGACAACTAATACTGAAATTATCTGGACAATAAAGTGTGGAAAATAGCTAAGCAAATTTTTCAAAAACTATGAAGGGAGAATTCATCCTATTAGATAGTAGAACACAGTATAAAACTTGAGGATGTGGTATTGATACAGAAGGAAGTAAATCAATAAATACAGTAGTTACCAGATAGATCTAATTACATGTAGAGTGACATTTAAAATTATCCTCTGATGCAGAAATATTCTGCCTATATAGATAGCCAAATTCCCAACATCATTTATTTACCACTTCCCCTTACTCTCCATTTCCACTGACTGCTTGCTTCCTTGTCTCCTTCCCCTGTACAGGGCAGCTGCCCCTCTACCTCCCCTTGACTGAGTAGAGAACACTTTTTTAACGATTTATTTACTTATGCATACAGAGTTGGGGCACAGGCCAGAGGTGCAGGGGGTGAGAGGATTCACCAGAGACAGAGCTGGGAGCAGAACAGGCAGACTGACTAAATACACTGCTGAGGGGAGCAGTGGGTGGGTCAGGAGCAGTCTGCAGTGCCATGTGGGTCACCTCCCTGGGGATGGAACTTGTGCTGAAGTGGCTGTAGCTAGCTTCACAGTGCTGCACTTTAACCTGTAGATCCAGCAGGGAGGGCCCCGGGAACATTTTTTTTTTTTTTTAATGGAAGTAAGGACCCTTTCTCCATGGCTTGATTTTGGTGTGATTCCAATGAGGTCATTTTATTCTATTTGTAGCAATTGAACCTGCAATGTCCCCATGTTGGCCCCAGCTACAGAAGGTACCCCTGCAGTTTGGCAAGGAAGAGAAAAAAGGAAAAGTCATTTAAAATAAAAAAAACTCAAGAACTAATTTTCATGTCAAGATTATGAAAACAGAAAATTTTTGAACTCCAGAAAAACTGTATAACAAATTATAACTCAGGAATTTACATTAGCCTGTGAACCCCACTCAGTAAATCCAAAAGTAGGGTCTACATTTGTCCTTTCTCTGTCCAAATTCAGGTCTACCTTTTTGCTCTGTATCTTTGTTAGTATAAAAATTATTACTAGCAGATGTAGCTCCAGATAGACCTACATGTAAATCTTTGTTCTACCTTTCTTATGGCATGATTTTGGTCATAATTTTATAAACAATTGGTTGTCAATTTATAAAAAGTATAAATGTTCTGGTACTCAGTTTCCTAACCTGTAAAACAGAATTACATTATGTACCTGACAGTACTGCTATGAGACATTATCCATACACTTACAGCTTGGCATAT